TATTAGTACCAATACTTTTATAGTTACCTATACAAAATCTCTATACTATGACATACTTCTTCACTTTGGAATTCTTCCTCTTATATATAAAAACACCATGAGAACAGCTTCTAGTAGGTTTTTAGGCAAAGATGTATACAAATCATTCATAAACTATTACCCCAATCGTATAAACAAACAGAAATCAAATAATGTGGGGAAATAATTGAAAAGGTTAACTGTGACTATTTCTGAAATTGTGTTTTTTTTCCCTTATGCTTTAACTGCATTTTCCATGTCTTCTAAAATGCAAATGCCTCATCCTTGAAAACACAAATATTATTTTAATTTTTAAAGAGACTGAGGTAAAACAAAGTATGAATGCCAATGCTTTGAAACCGATATAAAAGGTAATGTGCATCCTGGAAATAATAAATTTAGGGATCTTTCCAGAAGTTCCACGAATTCGAGATGCAAGTACCTTCTGGCACCGTATACACACAAATCGCTTAAAGAGAGGTTTTCCCTTGGCAGCACAATGAACTTCTTCTTGTGACGAGCAACAAGGAATCTTGAACTGAATTCAATTTCAGGAACATAAAGTATCACTAACATCAAGTGAAACCAGCCAGTAAATGCCCTTAGGATGCTGAGTGCTAACTCTAAGAAAACAGAAGGGGATCATTGTATTTTTCCACCATTCATATTTAAACCATTACAAATTGCCTAAATATGCACCTGCTATCTAAACTTCTTTTGCTAGGTCAAGCCCTCCCAAGCAGGAAGCTGAGGGCTGGGTTATTTTTAAAGTGTCCTGGCTGGCTCACACTCCCTCTCGAACTTTCTGAGCCTAATCCCACCGAGTTTCCTAGGAAAATTTCTATTCTCCTCGCTCAGGGATGTCTGCCCGAAGCGCACATTCACACGTATGCGGAAACCCAGAGATATCCGCACAGCCGCCCTCTCGCTGCTCGCTCACTGCGTGCCTGTTACTATGACAATCGCTTTTCATGGATTATTTTATTTAATCCTCGTAACAGCTGAGAGGGGTAGAAATAATTATATCGATTCTAAAGATGAGAAATTAGATTCTAAAGCTGGCTCAAGATGGGCTCAGCTGGGCGAGTCCATTGTACCTCCTTCTTTCTTTACTTTTTTATTGAATGTCTAAGATGTCCATTCTATGTCTAGAATGTACTATTCTAGACCAGAAAAGACAGCCATATTCCTGGAGTAGGTTATCTGAAATTCAAATTTAAGTGCGCCTCCTGGACTTTTATGGGATAAGTCGACGGGTCCTTTTGCGCCTGGTGACCACGCTGTACCGTGCGCCAGGTTGACTCCGTGGCTAGTCTGATCCCTCCCGGCGTGTCTGGGCTGGGATGTGGTGAGAGGAGGTGGAGATGGCCTTTGAGGGACACTGGGAAGGAGACCTCCAGGGACAGGCATCCCTGTGGACGATTCCCAGGAGCTGTCTCCTACCAGGTGGGAGGTAGCGCCCACCACGAGCTATCTCTTCCAAATGTCAATTTGCTCAGTGGCTTCTCACATCCTTGAGGAGAATCTATGTCATTTGCCAAAAGCCAAACACCTGCCGCGTGTATGCCTGTGTGTCATGCTGTCCTGTTCATGTGGCGCCAAGCCCTCCGGACACAATGGAAACTCTTTCCAGTCGGGCTCACAGGAAAGCCTTTTCCAAAGTTCTTCAGGGTTGAATGCAAGATATGAGACCCAGCCGTAATGATGGAGGCCATATTGGTACCTTCCGCCCCAGCAGGCGTCGCCTTCCCCTTTGGCTAAGGAAGAGGGCTCATTTTCCCCAAGGGTTAGCTTTGCTACTCCCTTGTGTTCTTGCCCGAATGTGGGTCTTGGGAATAAATATGCTACAACCCCGACCCATCTTCCCCTGAGGGTCCTCGCGGATGCAGAGGGACACATACGTAAACCAAATCCTTGGAGCATGTATATTCAATCCACATATGTGTTTGAGCTTCTGCCAAAGAGGAAATTGTGCCACATTCTAGAGAAGGAAAGACAAGACAGGCACACCCTCCACCATCCGGCAAGTCACTATTTGGTCGTGCAAGGGGTGTGGTGACACCTGACAAAAAATCATGCCGCAAGCAAAGAAATGAAGGCAGATGACAAATGTGCTAAGATGACAAAGCAGAGCAGGGGCTGGAGGAGCCCAGGCCACAGGAGGGCGGTGGAGCCAGATCTCCTCACTATGGGTCTGAGTTCACAAAGTAGACAAGTTGGGTGGGTGGGTAGCTAATGTTCCAGAAAAGCAAAGAAGTTTGTCACCAAATCCTAGAGGCAAGAAAGCGAACATTTTACAGTTGTGGGTAATATAAATAATTCTACCACATGCCAGGACTAGGAGAGAATGAAAAAGAGCCGAGTCCGTGAGGGATGTGGGATCACAAGGCAAAGGGCGTGTTGGGTAACACCCAAGGTGGCCAGCGTTTACCCAATGGGGGCTACAGAAGGGGGGCATTTTGAAAAGATGTTGGGCGTGGTAGAAAGAAGGAGGACAAAATCTTGAGGCCAGAGGGCCAGTAAAAAAAACCCTGTAGCACTACTAGGTATTTACTAAGGGACACAGGTGTGCTGTTTCAAATGGGGCACAGGCACCCCAATGTTTCTAGCAGCGCTGTCAGCAATAGCCAAAGTATGGAAACAGCCCAAATGTCCATCGATGGATGACTGGATAAAGAAGATGTGGTGTATATATACAATGGAGTATTACTCGGCAATCAAAAAGAATGATATCTTGCCATTTGCAACTACATGGATGGAACTAGAGGGCATGATGTTAAGCGAAATTAGTCAACCGGAGAAAGACAAATATATGACTTCATTCATATGAGGAATTTAAGATACAAAACAGATGAACGCAAGGGAAGGGAAGCAAAAATAATAATAAAAACAGGGATGGGGCAAAACATAAGAGACTCTTAAATATGGAGAACAAACAGAGGGTTGCTGGAGGGGTTGTGAGGGGGGGATGGGCTAAATGGGCAAGGGGCATTAAGGAATCTACTCCTGAAATCACTGTTGCACTATATGCTAACTAACTTGAATATAAATTTCAGAGTGGCGAAAATGAGCAAATCAGAGGACTCTAGATGCTGGCGAGGATGTGGAGAAACGGGCACCCTCCTACACTGCTGGTGGGAATGTAAACTGGTACAGCCCCTCTGGAAAACAGTGTGGAGGTTCCTCAAAAAAATAACAATAGAACTCCCCTAAGACCCAGCAACAGCACTGCTAGGAATTTACCCGAGGGATACAGAAATGCTGATGCATAAGGACACATGTACCCCGATGCTCATAGCAGCACTCTCAACAATAGCCAAAACATGGAAAGAGCTTAAGTGTCCATCAATGGACGAATGGATCAAGATGTGGTTCATCTATACAATGGAATACTGCATGGCAATGGGAAAGAATGAAATCTGGCCACGTGTAGCAACATGGATGGAACTTGAGGGTGTTATGCTGAGCAAAATAAGTCAGGCAGAGAAGGACAAATAGCATATGTTTGCACGTATAGGAAGATTAGGAGGAACTTAACGGAGGACCGTGGGGGAGAAGAAGGGGCGAAATGGTGGGGGAGAGGGAGGGAGGCAAACCATGAGAGACTCTTGAATGCTGAGAACAAACTGATGACTGATGGGGGTGGAGGGAGGAGAAGGGGGGTGATGGGCATGGAGGAGGGCACTTGCAGGGATGAGCACTGGGTGTTATATGGAAACCAACCTGACAATAAACTATTAAAAAAATAAGTTAAAAATAAATAAATAAACAAATAAAATCTCTTGCAACATACAATTCAGGCTCCCAGTGATTACATTTAATGGAAGTCAGCATCTGAAGCCCTCCATGTATTCCCAGTGTGCTGAAGTAACTAAAAATACACCAAGTACGCCCACCCATCCATACTCACTATCCATTCAAAAATATCAAAGACATGCAGGTGACACGTTCAGTGCTGAACGAAGCCAACCTCTGTCTCCTCATTTAAAGCTACGCCCTTATATCTCAATGTCTTCAAGTGTTAGGTGGTACACAACGTTTCCTTGAGATCTGAGAGCAAAAGGAATGTTTCTAGAATGGTTCCGTGTTGATCTCGAGTATAAACCAGATTTTGCTTCACTCAGGTATATATGGAAACCGCACTTCCGCTCTTGCTATGAAAGGTATGTTTTATAATCTAGCAAATTTGATACATCACTCCAGTGCCCAAAGTGCTTCCCTTGAGTTCCAGAAGAGTCCAAATCTACAAATGGCCTCTTTCGTCAACGTTAATATTTTTCCTAAGAGAGGAGTATGTGGTATGTTTTATAAATTATCCTCAAAATACATTGGCAGGATAAATTATTTGAACAGAAGGAGCATGCCTGTTCTCTAAGGGAGTAATGGTAAATACGAGGGAAACAACTCGGGATCTGTTCTGACTGTGTTCTAGTAGCCTCGTCGTCAAACTGCAATGTCAAGTATTGACCTGGATACAGGAGCGTGTGCACCCGAAGAGAGGGAAATGTAACAGTTTCCTTGAATTTTCAATTGATTAGTAAATGGTCTAGTCAAGGTCACATTGGAACGGACGTCAAAATCTCGACTCGAGAATTTTACAAAGAATGTACTGACAAGTTACAAAGTTTCTAGAGTCAAAATGCCTGGATCTGAAATCTGAGTCCAGCTTTTACAGTATGACCAGACTCAATCCCCTCATCTCTAACACAGGGATGTTGACAATACCTACCTCTCAGCTTTCACAGGGACTAAATGGATGAATTCATGTTAGAACAGTTGAGCTCCCAATAAACGCTTGCTATGCAAAGGAGTCATCATTTTATTATTAGTAGCACACACAACGGTATCTTACGCTGTATTTTCTTCTTGGAAGAAGTGTTACTTAGCACTCGTGAGCTACAACAGAGAAGCTCACGTGTAACTGCACAGATGGAAAAAGAAATCCAAAATTATCTGCGGTGGCAAAACAGAAGATCTCTCACCTTGCTCCTACCACAAGTTCTTTCTGTCCTGGGTCAAATGTTAACTGCGAGAAATCCACAGCGTTCTTCGCCCTGAACTCCCGTAACCAGGGGCCAATTTCTAAATAGGAAAAATAAATACATAAAAAGATAAAAATGAATGATCTTTCCTCCGGGGACCGCAAAAAGCACACATCAGGGAGCAAACATCACACTGCAGAGAAGATTCGGAGATCCCCTGATGTGACCGTTCAGGGGAGACTGGAAGTTTCCATCAGAATGTCACAGAGTCTGCACTGAGAATGTGTACAACACAGAGGGCAGCCACCGATAAAGCGAGCATAGGTGCTTGGGTGTGTGTGATTTACAAGCCAGACGTGCATTTCCCTTTGGGCTCTGGGCTGGGCAGAAAAATCACACAGCATCTATGTTTTCATCAAGGGAATACTGAATGCAAACTAGACCCCTTCCTGGGTGTCCTCCCTGGCAGGAACTGAACACTTGAGAGAATCACAAAGCCCTCCTTGGGACCCCAGGACGAACCCAGGAGCACCATCTGCCTTCCTTCAACGTGGACACCCCACGTCCCCGTACTCTGGGTTTCCATCCTGGAGCCACGACCAGGCGTGTTAAACACATTCAGCACTTTCTAGATGAGAAATCCAGTTACTTCTAGTTCTCATTGGCATTTTTGTCCCTGAGGGAAATCAGGAAATGGCCACTTTTTAGAGACAGGTTTTTCACCAGGCTGTTAACTCCTATGACATGGCCGCCAGCCTAGAATCCGATTATTCTAACATGACAGCTCTGAAGAGGGACAGAATGCTGCTTCACAAGCCATTTTTGCAACTTTCGTGAGCACATTTCTGACACCGGAAAAAAGAAAAAATCTACTCTGTGAGTTCCCTTCCAGTTGTGCCTCCCTTATCGTTATTCCTGACAATTAGCCATGTTATCTGTTATTTTTTTCTTGCATTTACTATTCTGAGTGATATCACACTGACTAAACAGGCACATGACAGATGTCACATCAGCAAAGTTACAAAACAGATCTAATATGGAAATATGCTCACGTCTCATACACAGGCCTTTGTTGATGTGATTGTGATGGATTATTTTCAAGAAATGGCTCTGCCTAATAAATATAGCATTTCTCTACTATCGGTGATTGGGGAAATGGCCATGAACAAAAAGTTCTATTTTGCATGAAGGAAACCAGGGCTGAGTTCTAGAGAGACCTGTCTTTGGGTTTTGAAATTTTAATGTGTATCTTCATCCTTTTTAGAAGTTTATAGGGGTGCCTGAGTGGTCAGTCGGTTAAGCGTCCAACTTCAGCTCAGGTCATGATGTCATGGTTCGTGGGTTCGGGTCCCGCGTCAGGTTGTGTGCTGACAGCTCAGAGCCTGAGCCTGTTTCAGATTCTGTGTCTCCCTCTCTCTCTGACCCTCCTCTGCTCATGCTGTCTCTTTCTCTCTCTCTCAGAAATAAATAAAACATTAAAAAAATAGAAGTTTATATAAATGTATTCATTTTACAGCCATGTCATTAAAAAAAAAACAATTCTCGCAAAGTATGTACAAAGCCCTGGAGCTATAAAAACTTGTTAATAAATGGTCTGTTCCATGAGCTCACAATTCAGTTAGGGGACTAGCACTAGTATCTTCTTTAAGCACAGGATCCATGAATACAAGGACTTTACAGGCATCTGTAATGTTCCAGGAAATATTCACACATAGAAAGGAGAGACCTGACCACATATGGACAGTGCAGACGTGTTCTAGAAGAGCAGAGCGACAAGGGATGCCATGGTGTCCCCGGGGCCATAATGGTTGCTGCCCACCTTCCTGTCCTTCAGTTCTCTGTTTCTGGGAGACAGAGCTGAAGGCTCTTCTGTCTGCAAAGTTCACCTGGGTGCCTGTGGCACATGACCCAGGACCCTAAATGTGTAAGACAATGATCAACGTATGGAATGAATGAGCAAGAAATTAGGAAGCGAATTCAAGAGGAGGAGAATTAAAAATGAAAGGAAAGAGGGGAAAAAAGAAGAGAGAAAGGAAAAAGCAATGGTAATTCAAGAAACTACTGGGATGATAACTGACAGGCGAATTTAAATATAGCTATAAAATATTTGCTCACAGGTCAACAAGTTTGGACATGGTTTCATCTGTGATAGAGAGGCTTTATAAAATCTCCAGGCAAGCACTTGACAAATCAAAGCAGGCATCCTAGGAATGTGATGGGCCTACTGGTGGGCAGGAAAGAGTACAGAATGGGACAGCAATGTTAGATTTTTAAAAGTACCACCATGCGCTTTAGGTAGTGGCTATATCAATGGTGGTTATCAAAATGCAGGAGGGAGAAGTGGTGGGGGGCATCCCAGGGGCTTGATATCTAACTAGAGAGGAGACTTAGGCAAAGAGTTGAAGATGACAAAATCGTTCCAAGACAGGACGAAGGGAAAAATAACGATGGGTGGGGAATAGGCATTGGGGGTAAGGGTGGTCTTGGAGAAAGATGATCGGTTCCGATAAACTATGGAGAATGTCCCCTATGAAGAATGACCAGAGCTATTGCTGAGCATGGCTACGACCTGGAAGTGTCCACAGAGCTGTTTTGGTACAAGAGCTTTATCGCACAAAGAAGAAACTGAGGACTGAGGCAGTCCTGAGCCTGCCAGGACTGGAGATCCAGGCTCCTGAGTGCCTGTCCCAGGCTCTACTGCCCAAAGCTCACAGAGGCCAGGAGCTGAGCACAAGTGTTGTACTCAAGGTGGTGAGAACGAGTAGGTGGCATGAGTCAAGGACGGAGGGCCACAGGCTGACCTTTCTGATAGAGGAGAGGAAATGTGAGCCACATACGCAGAGAGAAGACTATGAAAAGTCATCAGAAGAAAATCCATGAGCTCCCCTCCCATGCGTGCATTCATCTTTCTTCTCAGCTCGACAAACAGGAAGCATGTGGCCAACAGGGACCAGGGTGAAGAGATACTTTGGTTTTGGTTCCCGTGCTGAGCAGCCGGATGCGCTACACTACTTCCTGAAATGTCCTCCAATAATAAAAGGAGGCAGGCAGATATGGAAAAACAAGCTAACAACACAAAGTTCCATCAGTATTGCTCCCTTTTCCGTACTTAAATTTTCAAAGATCTTCCCCATTAAAAGCGTACATTTTTGTGGTTAACATTAAATAAAAGTTGGGTCATCTGCACATTCTCTTCTTTTTTGATCTTCCCGGGCATTCCTCCAGGTCTGGCACTCTCCACCTTGCATATCACGTAACCTGTATCTGTCATAACACCCCGAAGCCCTGGGGAGGAAGCTAATGCAGTAACCCATCCCTCGCTGAGAACGTGCCTGTCCCGCACACCTCTCCGCCCCACTTCCCGGTAAGAACAGAGGCTGGCGCTCTCTCCTCTGTGCCAAGACCGGCCTCTCGTGTTCTGCTCATGCCACCTCTTACTCCTCTTCGGTCCCTTCTCTAAATCACCTCTTTTCTCCTCTAATACCTCCTGTGTTATCAGGCCCATTCCCTGTATCTGCAAGTACATGCACAGTCTCTCATTTTGAAAAATCTTTTAAGTGGCGCCTGGGTAGCTCAATAGGTTGAGTATCTGACTCTTAATTTTGGCTCAGGTCATGATCCCAGAGTGGTGGGATCGAGCCCCACGTCGGGATCCACACTGAGTGTGGAGCCAACTTGGGTTTTTCTGTCTCTCTCCCTCTGCCACTCTTCCCTTCTCTCTCTCTCTCTCTCAAATTAAAAAAAAATAATAAAAGACCAAAAAACATTCATTATATTCTTTTGTTATGATAGTGTCAGACACCAGACACAATGCGTAGTAAACTCCCAGGTACAATTTATCAGAAGAGGCAGTGGGCTTAGTTTCACAGGTAAGTTTCAACAACCCCTTAAGGAACATGTAAGGTCAACTTTATAAAACTTACTTCAGAGATTAGACAAAGAGGCACAGCTTCCTAACATAGTTCTGAGGTGATTGGATCCTGATAATCTTGCTAGTAAGGCTGTACAGAGACATGATGGAAAATCATGGGCCACCATCATTTAAAAGTATGGCTGAAAACATTGTTAAGGAAAGACGTGTATTAGCAAATCATGCACATGCACATGTGCGCGCACACGCGCACGCATACACACACACACACACACACACACACACACACACACACTGCTTCATATGGGACAGGATTTATTCCAGAAACACAAGGATGGATCCCCCATCCTTTTTATATCAGAAGTTCTATCAGTAGAATCTGCCACCACAGTAACAGAGTTCAATAGTAGCATTGAGAAATCACCAGTCCTGCTTTCTAAAGAATCGGAAAATGAATAGTTACAGACACAGAAAGCTAAAAGAGCACAGTGTCAAGTAAGGCAGGTGAGGACAGCATCTGAACATGGGGCACGTGGAGGCCAACAAGCTCGGTAGATGCCAAAGACCGATCAGAGCGAGGAAAGTGAGTGGGGACAGCACACGGTACGTGGTGGGTTGAGAGATACAGTTGTTAATAACGTTAAATTTGATATACATTCACTTCTCCCAAATAATGGGCTTTACCTTTTTCCTCCTATCTCTTTCGACTGATTTTGCTGAAAAGAAAACATAGGATGAACTATGGCAGTCAACATGACCACTGTGTGGAAGTCAAGGAGTAACACAAAACCTTCAACTTCAAATTGAATACTTGGTAGATAATTTTTAGTATTTGATAGTAATCATTCTAGCGAATCCTTTTTACTACACAAATGTGGCTGTTAAAAAACAGCCTCTGTCAATGACTTTCTACTACAAAATTAGCTGCAGTGATACATATTTGCCTTCTCTTATCATTGCATAAGCATCCATATGATTGTTTTGTAAATACTCTAATAAAACATATACTGATTTGATTTTAACAAGGACACAGTGGTACAGTTTCGAGAAATAACTTTCATGAACATATGTCACTATTAATCAATTTGGTCCAAATGATGGCATATATAAACTAGAGACTAGTTTCCAAATTCAAGTTGTTCGCCCTCCGCCAACCCTAGAAAATTAAAACCTTTAAAAACAAAATAAAAGTAGGGTGCCTGGGTGGTTCAGTTGGTTGGGTGTCTGAC